GATGCTTTCAATACCTAATTTCAGGTAATCCTTATAAGAACCCCTTGAAGTAGGTTCTAATCTTCCTAATTTACTTATAAGGAAATAGATACTTAGAGTTGAATAACTTGGCTAGGATTATACAAGTAGCGCCAGGGATTCAAACCCAGGTTTTGTCTGACCACAAAGTCTGGATGCCTTTGCTGTCATAAAAGATAAGACATTTGGCAGAATCCTATAGGGTTTTGACCATAAAAAAATTATGTAACAAATATTATGCTTTAGGATGGTTAGTTTAATGGTAGACAGGAGGGATGGGAGCAGAGATACCTGAGGCCAGGAGAAACACCAAGGACCTTTTCTAATAACTGTAGCCTTGGTTACGAAGAGCCTAGACCAACACAATGATAGGGAATGGATGGCTAGGGAGAATTAGAAGATGAGTCAGTACACATTGGTCACTGAAAATTAATAATGGATTTTAAGGTCAGAGGATTGGGAGAATACTATGACAATAGAAAAGACAAAAAGAAAAAACTTGAGATTGCTTGTTTGCATAAGAAGAAATGATGAATTCAATTGCATATATTCATGTGAACTCTTACACACATTCAGTACATAAACATTATGTGAAAGGCTCAGAATTGTAGATTTGAGAGTCATCTGCCTAAAAGGGAATAGGATAGATAAACTTTCTAAGGAAGAAGTTTCAGTAGAATCCCCAAAGTTGTAGGTTAAGGAGAAAGAGGAGGAAATAAAAGGAGCAGAGGATGTATGTTTGGACCAGAAGGAGGAGTGTGCTACATATAGAGAAGATTAGGAGAATGTGGATGGAAGCATATTGATTATCTTTGAAACCTAAAAAATTGGACCACTCTTCCATTTGTGTCTTCTTTAGTTATATGCTTTTAAACAGTCTTGACATGCTCAGGCACCCACTGGTGAATTAACACTGAAGGCAGTGATTGCTCAGAGACCCTCCGTGGCTTGTTTCAGCTTGCTTTCTTACTTTCCAGTTCTCTTCTGAGTTCTGACTCCTGACTTCTGATTTCTCCCTTTTTTTGTTTTTGATCCTGCTTTTGCCTTTCCAATGTTTCATTTGGTCTCTCTGATTTAAAATCTCAACTTTCTGTCAGGACTCAATTTAGAGATGTCCCTGCCCCTTCCCTGTGGGAGACCAGCTACTCTCTTCTGTTCCTTCTGAATGAGTAGTTCAGGCAATTTATTTGTAGAGTTGAGAATGAGTTATGTTCTACTTTCAACATAAAACATTTCATTCATCCATTTTTCCTAACGGCTTCACAGCACTCTTGATTCATAGCAATGGTTGATTTTTTAAGATGCATCATTATTTTATGTGCCTCTAAGGAAAAAAATGCTGTCAATTAAACTGTGATATGCAATTAATTGTATGATGCATCCCAATTTAAGAAATGTTTAAATGTGGAAAAAATATATGTCTTAGAATTATTGTCCAGCAGCATTGTGGACATACAAAAGAAAAATATATATGGATTGTAAATATCTTAAAATTACTACAGAGACCCATTTTCCCAATTACATTGCAGTAACTTTTTAACTTTAACTGGCTTTCCCTGGCACTTACCCTCTCTGTGTTGAGGACTATCAGACCATACCAACCACCAAAATCATTCGTATCTTGGACCCTAACTCAAGTTGCTTTCCTCACAGTTCTCTACAACTGCTTTTGCCCTTTCAAGTCTTTCTAGTTACTGCAAGTCTCATCTAGTTCTTTCTATTGAAAACTTCTCTTGCTTTGTACAGTATTCTGTATTCTCTCTACAGCTTGACATTAAATATATATTATTTAAAATTGTCTACCATTATTTTGTGTATGTTTATTTTGAGCAGTCTTACTTAAGTAAGATTAAGAACACTCGTACTTTTCTTTGCCAGAATGCATATAAAAAAGTATTGAGTAGTATTCGTGAAAAGTTTGCTGATGATTTGATTGTTTTGCTAAAGTTTGGTAACACAGATCCCATGGCATGGGTCCTGAGCCATAGCTGTATAGTAAGACTTCTATTGCCTCTTTCAGAATTCAAGTTAAATCTTTTGAGGAGACACATGTATTCTACATTACCATACAGGAAGACAACTCCAACTTTATAGTACGTTATAAATATTTTCCAAAAGATTTTTCCAACAATAATTATAGAAACATGTAGCAAGCATGTCTTTAAAGGTAATTATTTCTCAAAGCAACTGGATTTTAAAATGTGGGTTTTATAGTGCCCTTGGCTTAAATAAATTAAATGAGCTCTTTTTGTTAACTGCCTTGTTAATGTTTTATTTGGACACAAGTCTATTGCTGGAATTAATTTGATTATATAATATATGAAGAACAGCCTTTAAAAAAATGTTTCCTTTTTAATTCAAACAAAAGAAATGGGACCAAGAAAAAAAATTGAATTAATTCATTCCCAGGGCTGAACAGTTCTATGTGGGAAGGATCTGTTTCCATTCTTCTCACCTTGAATTCCACATCTTCAGTGTACCTCCCTGGTAGAGCCTGTTCTATATCCATTAATGGAAAATGAATATTTGATTGAATATTTTTTTAGACTATAGGTTAAAAAGCTTTACATCTTACATTTTATTGTAAAAGACTGTTAGAATCCTCTTGAAAGTCTAGTCTGCCATTTGCTTTGTTTCTCTAACACTCACAGCCTCTTAAAAAATTTCCCTCCATAGTTGTGAACAGTTCGTGCCTAGCCTTTGGCTTACAAACTCTGCTCAGGAAAAGAAAAGGCAGGTCATCCACTGACATGGCTGTTATTACTCAGGCAAGCCCCCGTAAAGGGCTTGCCATACAGAGGTAGAAAGGTTTGTCTGAGGGACTAAACCTTTTATAAAGAAAATTAAATTCATCGTCTGTTTTTGTTCTTATTTTTTAGTGGCTTTAAACTGAGTAGGGTGTTACAAAAGAAGGACACTAATTTAGAATAGGGTGGGGGGAAAGGGTAATATAGGAAAAGCAGACTAATAAAATGTGCCCTCATAATGCGATGTCAGGTCCTCTAAGCTAGTAGATAGGATGGGTTGGGAAAACACAAGATTTCTACAAGTAGAAACCTGACATTAAAAACTATAAAACTGTAAAGATTGTAAAAGTTTATGCCTTCTACAAGACATCCAGTCTGGTCTCTTCAAAAATGTCCCTGTCACAAAATATGAGAAAATAAAAGAGGGCTTAGTTTGTTGTTTTCCTTTTTTCCCCATATTAAAAATACTGAAGTGATATGATGACTCAGTACAATTAGGATCCTTGATTGGATCTAGGCATTGACAAGGAAAAGCTGCTATAAATTTCTCTATTAGAATAATTTGGTAAACTTGAATATGGGCTGTGTATTAGAAAATATCAGGTTAATATTTACTATTGCCTTTGATATTAGGAAGTAGTATATAAATATTTAATGATGAATAAATGAAAGGCATAAATGAAAGGCATCCTCCACAGATTGGTATTAACTCATTAGGGACATAATTTGGGATTTGGAATTAGAGACTATGAATAAACACTTCTGTGTACATATTTGCCTATGAACCTTGCAGAAAAAGGGGTAGCTGTGGCAAGACAGATGGGTTCTTGCCACCTCTCAATCTTTTTACCATTGGTATGATTATATCCATAATAGTTATGGCAGACCAAGTGAGTATGTGGACAGAACACTGGGTCTGGAAGACAAAGCCCTGTGTGGACAAAGTAACCCCCCTCCATTGGTGTAGGCTTTTGATATGTATTGTTCCTTCTGCAAGTGCAGCTTCAGTCTGAAAGGGTGATAGCCTATCTTTAGCAAGTAGGATCTGGGGTTACCAGGGCTATTGGAGAGCCAGGCAGTCTGCCTCAGTTGCCTCAAGCTGCATGAATAAGTTCTCTACAAAAATGGCAATACTTTTGCATCTTCATTGCAGTTTCTGGTATCTGGTGCCGGAATTCATTTCTACAGCCAGGTAAGATCACATTAAAATAAGCAAATCTCCAGGAAACTGGTTTTTAGCTTCTGGATTCTTGGATTGTATAGTGTTTACTTCTTTTTACTTCAGGAGAAGGAAAGTGGGCACATCTCTAAACCTTAAATAACAGTCATGAATATTGCACTATTTGACCACAGTGGTAATGTGGAGGGCATCCAAGGAACGGAGGAAAGGAGTGTGTTACTCTACAGGGACTATGTTGTCATTTGGAATTAAGGTTGAGAAATCTCAGTGGAACCATTAAAACCTGAGAACTAAAATGAAAATGAAGGCCTGTACTCAAAACACTCTGACTCTCATTCCATGGATGGTTTTAAAAAAAAGAAAAAAGAAAAAACACTCTGGCTTGAGGAATCAGGCTTGCCTAGAGGCAGAGGGAAAATTAGGCAGTGAGTAAAACTGTAGCATTTGATATATGAAAAGCACTAATGGGATTTTGTAAAGACACCACTAGAAACTTGGGAGAGAAAAGGATCAGCTTTAAAAGCAAACCATAGGGGAATTGGAAAAGACAATTTCAAAAGTTAAAATATTTAAGCAAGCCATTAAACAGATAAAAGAGGCTTTTGGGAAGATTAGGGCCTAGAGCTTCCAGTCATGTGGAAGCTTCTCTTACCTCTAGGACACTAGTGTAGGGCAGAGACTTATGATGAGGGTTGTTCTTCTGATCCCCTGCATCGTCCCCAGTAGGAGAACTCTTTTCTCTTAGGCCAGGTGGCTTCCTTTGTCCCCTTCCTCCCCACTGTTTCATTTGTATTAATAGTAAAACTGTCTTAATTTTGAATGTTTTAAAATCATAACTGAAAAGTCTTCAAATACAAATCTTAAGATTATGCTAAAATAGAAATTTGCTAAGCAAATCCGAGTACAAAAACAGTTGCATCAAGCTTCAGTGTTTAACATTTACTGTAGCCAATATTGTGTGCATAGAAAAATATCAATCCAAATGAAAGAATTAACTACAAATTAGAAAAGAATATGATTTACTCAGTTCCTCTCCCTTCTTCAAAACCATGCAGGTAATATATGCTTTGAACACTAAAAATGATGAGCATGAAGCTGCAATTCAAGCCCTCAAAGATGCTCATGAAGAAGAAATCCAACAAATTCTTGCAGAAACAAGAGAAAAAATATTGCAATATAAAAGCAAAGTGACAGAGGAGTTAGACCTTAAGAGAAAGATTCAAGTTTTAGAAGCATCATTAGAAGATCATATAAAAATGAAGCAGCAGGCTTTGACAGAATTTGAAGCTTATAAGCACAGAGTTGAGGACATGCAACTCTGTGCAGAAGCCCAGCATGTCCAACGCATAGTGACCATGTCTAGAGAGGTGGAAGAGATTAGAAGGAAATTTGAAGAAAGATTACGGAGCTTTGGACAACTTCAAGTACAGTTTGAGAAAGACAAAAGATTGGCACTTGAAGATTTGCAGACTGCTCACAGACAGGAGATCCAGGAGCTATTGAAGTCACAGCAGGATCACAACTCCTCAGTCAATAAAGGGCAGGAGAAGGCAGAGGAACTGCACAGACTGGAGGTGGAGACCTTAAACAAAACACTTGAAGAGCTTAGACTTGAACAGAAAAAACTAATTGAAGATTATGAAGGCAAGTTGAAAAAAGCTCAGTCCTTTTATGAACGTGAACTTGATACTTTGAAAAGGTCACAGCTTTTTACAGCGGAAAGCCTACAGGCCAGCAAAGAAAAGGAAGCTGATCTTAGAAAAGAATTTCAAGGACAAGAAGCAATTTTACGAAAAACCATAGGAAAATTAAAGACAGAGTTACAGATGGTACAGGATGAAGCTGGAAGTCTTCTTGACAAATGCCAAAAGCTTGAGATGGCACTTGCTACAGCAGAGAACAATGTTCAGGTAAGTAAAGAATATTACAGACAACACATGGATTTCTTTTCCCAGTTTTCTCTTTTAGATATATTAATTTTGTAGACTGGAAAGTAGTCTGGCTGGCATAGGATCAGCTTCTTTTCATTCACAACATAACATATAAACTTCTTCTTTTTTTCCATTTTGCCTTTTCCTGCTTTTCCTTTCTGAGAAAAATCAATGAAGGGATAATTTTTATTGCCCTATAGCTATTATTTCAGAATTTCAGATATTAAGGGCCCAGAAAGATTAACTTAAAAGTTATTGATATTTATGAAAGTATTTTATTTATTTAATATGTTAATATTTTCCAGAAGTGGTTTGGGAAAGTTAAAATATTAGGCTTAAAGTTTGTGTTTTTTCTTTTCCCTTCATTAATAATGGTTTGCCCATTAGTTGATATTTAGACATTGATCAAAAAATTGATTCTTTTATAAACCTGAATTTAATAGAGGTATGGCACAAGTCTGGGAGGGGGAGCCAAAAATTCTCTGTAAGTTTTGTTTTGTTGGCATAGAAAATGTCTTAGCTATGTTTTTTAATATCTGTGCCTTAGAATGTTTTAGAAAGGGTAAAATAGCATTTCCTGATTGGGTTATATAGCTTGTGAAAATATCAAGTTATAAATTTCACCACTACTTACAGATTTAAGTATGACTTCTTTTATTTTTTTTTTTATTTTATTTTTTCACCAAGGTACCTTCAAGGTAAGGTATGACTTCCAGATGAGAGAAAGCTGATGTTTATAATTTAAATAAATTGTTTGTATTGTATTAGTATCATTCTTGCTTTTTTTTTTTTTTTTTTTGAGACAGAGTCTCACTTTGTTGCCCCGGCTAGAGTGCCGTGGCATCAGCCTAGCTCACAGCAACCTCAAACTCCTGGAAACTCCTGGGCTCAAGCAATCCTTCTGCCTCAGCCTCCCCAGTAGCTGGGACTACAGGCATGCGCCACCATGTCCAGCTAATTTTCTATTTTTGGTAGAGACGGGGTTCGCTCTTCCTGAGCTCAAAGGATCTGCCGCCTTGCCCTCGCCAGAGTGCTAGGATTACAGGCATGAGCCACAACGCCCGGCCATTCTTGCATTTTAATAATGGCTATTTAATCTTTCTTAGGTTCTTCAAAAACAGCTTGATGAGCCAAGGAGGGAGAAATGGCCTTATTAAGCAAGCACAAAGAAGTGGAAAGTGAGCTAGCGCTGCCAGAGAACGTTTACAGCAGCAAGCTTCAGATCTTATCCTCAAAGCTAGTATGTCTAACCACAGTTTTGGTGCAATGCTCAGCTAAAACCAACATTTACATGTTTACTCAGGACAAAATTTGCCTTTTCTCCTAATATTTTATTTATTTTTAAAATTATTTTGTTTATTGAGACAGAGTCTCTTCTGTTGCCCCTGGTAAAGTGCAGGGGCATCATCATAGCTCACTGTAACCTCAAATTCCTGGGCTCAAGCCATCCCTTGCCTCAGCCTCCTACGTAGCTAGGACTAAAGGCATGTGCCAAGATTAATTTTGACTAATTTTCTATTTTTCGTAGAGACGGGTCCAATCTTGCTCAGGCTGACTCAAACTTCTAAGCCTAGTAATCTTCCTGCCTTGGCCTCCCAGAGTGCTAGTCTTACTAATTTAAAATTATTTAGACTCTAAATATGTTCAAAGACTCTAATGCATTACTAATATCATAGATACAAGACAAACTTATTTTAGGAATACATTTTTATTTAAAAATAGATAAAACCAACAGTAAATCAGTCACTAAAAAATGAAACACTCTCAGAGGATTTGCTCTTTAAAAACATACATTTTAAGGTATTTAAAATAGTTTATATGTAAATCTAGCACCTCATTTCATCCGGCTTGTTATTAATGTTTGTTTACATACTAAAAATGATTTGCCCATTTCTGAAGTGGCCAGCGTGCTCATTTCATAGCCCACACTTGAAGAGGATGGGTGACCCATGTCAGTCCTGAGTAGTTTTGTTCGAGTGTTTAGTGTGGCCAGCGAAGCTGTTTGAGCTAGTTTTTTGAGGACGTCATGTGATTTTGATTGGCTTATCAGTGAATTCCAGATTTCCCTTCCCTTAAGGTAGTCATTTTTAGTAACCTTAGCACGAATGAGAATTACCTGGAAGGTTTGTGAATCTAGGGCTGCTGGGCCCCACTCCCAGAGCTGCTGACTCAGTAGGTCTGGTGTGGCTGCATTTCAACTAGAGTTCCCAGATAGTGCTGGACTGGATGCTAGTTTGAAAGCCATTGTCCTAAACCATGTTCTTTTTATGAGACTTTTTTCCTCTCTCTCCTATTCCTCCTGGTTTTTGCTGTAATTTATTTTATTCTTTCATACCCTTGCTGTCCGTATCTGTCTTTACTCCAAGTTAGTTCTTTATCTATGCTTCTTATCTAAAGCATGGTCAGTTCCCACCAACCTGCTGTCTGCGACCTTTGTTCCCTGAATACAGATTTTTTCTCTTATGTCACAATTTGAAAAAAAAGAAGAGATGAAAATACAAATTACTTATTTGGCTTCATAGTATTAGTCATTGCATCCTCTCTTACCTTATTTTACTCCCAGGTGACTTACATGAACTCTGAGGGTTGCTCCGATTTCAACCTTTATAGCTTGCAGGCTTTAAAAAGAAGTGGAATAGTACAGGAGTAACATCAGTGACGTGAAAATGACTTTCTAATTTAAATTATTTCTGGTTGGGTGAGAAGTATTCCGTGGTAAATATTCATTTTACAATAAGGAAACCAAAGAAAATCTGTGCATGCACACCATTATTCTACTTAGGTATAAAGTACAGTTGTGTCATTAAAATAAACTGTTTTATGTCACGGTTCAAAGAGTTTTTAATTGAAGGGACTTTCTTTTTGGGGGTAGGTCATATTGGAATGCTTCAAGCAACTCAGATGACCCAGGAGGTTACAATTAAGACTTAGAATCAGAAAAAATGAGAGCGAATGAAAGATTATCTCAACTTGAAGAGGAAAGAGCTTTTTTGGAAAGCAAACCCAAAGTCTGGATGAAGAGCAGAAGCAGCAGATTCTGGAACTGGAGAAGGTGAAAAGTACAGTACCCTATCCAAAAAGAGGAAAGGAAGAAAAGTTCAGTTTCCTCTTTTTTCAGATTTGAAATATTTGACATGTTTATCCTACTCCATAGTAACAATGCATTCTTAGGCTAGTAGTTGGTTTGAAGAAAAAGGTATACTATAACTAGACTATCCTACATTGTGTGTAATTCAAAATATATGAATGACAATCTATAATATAAAAGCTTAGGCATTCAACCTATTTTGAGCCAGAAACTGAATTAAGTCTTATTTCAGTTAGTGCATTTATAGTCATGTATATTTTTCTATTAATGGAATATGTTATTATATAAACATCTAGGAAATTTCTCTAAAACTGAAAGGATAACAAGCATCATGCTCTGAAAATTCATATACCAACAGACTGAATTTTAATTTAACAAGTAAGACGTCATTTGTAGAGTAATTGCTGAATATTTATTCAGTTTTTCAGGTACCCATAATACCAGTGGGGGTTTTTGGATGTCATTTCTTTCCTTCCCTCAACTACTAATCTGTATTGAATGATGCTCATCCTTCTTGCTCCGGCTCACCCCATTCTCTCCTTAACCTACTATTACCACTGATTCAGCAATTAGATGGACTGTTGCATATGTCTTGCCCATCCCCAGTGACATCCAGTTGCTGGACTTGGTGGATCTTATCTTACTGTCATTACTCCTACTCTCATCCACAGTGTCTCTCTTCTCTTGTTTTTCACATTCTCTCACTTTTCTCCTACCTCCTTGGCCTTCCAGTCTTCTTTGTGAAATTCCCTCCATCTATTCCCTTATCCTTGATGTTCCCAGGTTTTTGTCTCAATCATACACACTCATACATTCTAGTAACATCAACATCACTTGTTCACTGATCGCTTCTAAGTTGTAGGTCGCCAGATATTTTTCCTGAACTTGAGTCCTATATATCTAACTTTCCACTAGATACCTCCATTTATTATTTCACAGACATGTCAAGCCAGCATACCCAGAAACTTCTCCCCTCCAAAAGTACCATATTTTTTTCTCCTTATTTCAAGTATAGCACCACTGTCCATCTAGTTGCTAAATCAGAACCCTGGGAGTCATTCTTAATTCTCAACAAGTCCTTCTTGTTTTCTCAACTCTTTATCTGTTACAAATCCTGTTGGTTCTACTCCCTTCCTATGTTTTTATTCCATCCTCCCCTTTCTTTCTTACCCACTCACACATCCCAGGTTTAGGCACCTGTCATTGCGTGGGTTACAGTTACGCCTCCTGACCACTCTCGCTGCTATATCACTTAAATTCAGTGATTGCTCAGTCCTTCAGAATAAAACCAAAGTTCTTAGTATAAGCCCTTCTCATTATTTGACTCCTACTTCTGAGCCCATCTCACATCACTCCATGGTAGAACACATACTATGTTCTACCTGACTGCACAGCTGCATGGACTTTCTGTCTCCTGAAACTTTGCCACCAGTTAGCTACTTCTCATCTTTCAGATGCTGGAAGTCAGTAGAAATGTTATGAATGCAGGCTTTTGACATCAGACCTAGGCTTATGATTTTCTCATCTTTACTTTCCTTATGACTTGTTTGTGAAATTAAATAAAGAATGTGTTATCACTAGGTCAGATATCTTCTCTCTGAAAGTCTTCCCTGATATCTCTCTAGAACTTATAAAACTGTATTGCCACTGTCTTTTGACTTTATCACTAGACTGTGAGTGCCTAAAAGGTATGTAATTGGCACTCAAAACTGTGTTGAATAATATCGTCTGAGTGGGTAAAGTAAGCCATTTTGGTGATATACTTTGACATACAAGGAAGCTTTCTCTTAAGCTTGTGATGTGCTAGTCACATCAATTCTAACCAATAATAATCTGTTTTATCTCTTGCTTTAAAATTTTTCATTTCTCTGTGCCACCCTGTCCTTTCTGA